TTCTTCTGTAAATCCTCTGACATTCCACAGTAATGCTCATTTTATTTGTGTGCTTTCAATGAAAATGTACCTTTAGTTGTGCAGTGAGTGGTCAGGCCTGGGTAAGGCCCCTGCCACAGACATAGCATTTATTTGAATTCTCTTTAGTATGGACTCTGTGATGGTCCTTAACAACGGAACTCATGATGAACAGTTTGCCACCTTCAATAAGTCTTCAGAATGTTTCAAATAAATTCTCTGATGCTGGGTGAGGTAGAAAATTTGACTAAAAACCTTGCACATACATTTGTAAGGATTCCCTCCTACATGTATTCTGTGATGGGTGTTAAGGGTTTGACTTTTAACAGGAAAGCATGCCACAGTCATTTCATTTGTTTAGTTTCTGTCCAGTATGAGTTTACTGATGACATGTAAGGGATAACTTTTTTCTGAAGGCCTTGTCATATTCATTACAGTTGTAAGGTTCCATCCATCTCCTGTATGGATTGCCTGATGATTTTTAAGGTTTGATTTATGATGGAGACCTTGCCACACTCATTACATTCATAACATCTCTCTCCAGTGTATTTTCTGATGAACTGTAAGGCATATCTTCTGTCTGAAGACCTTGCCACATTCATTGCATTTGTAAGGTCTCTCTCCATGTGAACACTGGCATGTTATATGAGGCATGAATTGTAAAGGAAGGCCTTGCCACATTCATTACATTGGTATGGTTTCTCTCCACTATGAACACTGGCATGTTTTACACGGTTTGAATTATAAATAAAGGCCTTGCCACATGCATCACATTTGTATGGTTTCTCCCCAGAACAAATATGCTGATGTTGTCTAAGGTATGAATTACAACCAAAGACCTTGCCACATTCATCACATTTGCAGGGTTTCTCTTGAGTGTGAATGCTCCGATGTTGTGTGAGGGATGACTTACAACTAAAAACCAAAAACCCCGCCACATTCATCACATTTGTAAGGTTCCTCTCCAGTATGAACTCTTTGATGCCGTCCAAGGTCTCTAATAAAACTAAAGTCCTTGGGCAGTACCTGTGGCTCAAAGGAGTAGGGCACTGGCCCCACATACCGGAGGTGGCAGGTTCAAACCCAGCCCCAGCCAAAAAATACCAAAACTAAACCAAAGCCCTTGCCACATACATGACATTTGTAAGGTTTCTCTCTCCTATGAATTCTATGATGACTTGCTAAGTGTAAATTTTGACTGAAAACCTTGCTACACACTTCACATTTGTAAGGTTTATTTGCATTATGAATTCCCTGATGTCTATAAAGCCTTGAACACACACTAAATGCTCTGCCACGGTCATCACATTTGTAAGGTTTCTCCCCAGTATGAACGTTTGGCCTCAAGATTTTGCCACACTCTTTACCTCTGTAAGGTTCCTCCCCAGTATGGATTCTCCAACGTTGTACAAAGAGCGAATGGTGCCTAAAGGCCTTGCCACACTCCTTCCATTTGAAAGGTTTCTTTCCAGTATGGGTTACGCCACAGTTAGCAGGACTTGAAGCCACCCTAAAGGCTTTGTCA